CTGCATTCTCTGTCGGATCCCTGGGGATGATCCCGAGGTTTGGTGTCCCTGAATTTGCAAGAAATCCCAAGAAGATGGCGGGATTTGGGATTTGGGAAAAGGATTGGGCTTGGCATTGTGCATCCTGATCTTTGTGGGATCATCCCAATCCCCGTGGGATCATCCCGATCCCTACGGGATCATTCCAATCCTTGCGGGATCATCCCAATATCTGCATTTCCCCCTCTACCCCAGGGATATTTTTCCCCCAAATTCCCTTCCCAGATGTGCCAGGAGAGGAAAAATCCCAAAAAACCCTGTAGGGTTTGGGGAATCTGGGGAAAGGATCCCTGAATTCCCAAGAAATCCTAAGAAAACTGTGGGATTTGGGGATTTGGGGACTTAGCTTTCCTTGGATTTCATCCCACCAACAATGAGGGATGTTCCCATCCCAACCCCTGTGGGATCATCCCAAACCCTGCACTCCTCCTCCATCCCGAGGAGATTTGTCCCTAAATTTCCAAGAAATCCCAGTGAAACCTGGGGATTTAGAGGAAAGAATCGGGATCAGCTCCCCTTGCCCTTCCCTCTCCATCCCAAGGAAGTTTTTCCCAAAATTCTCAACAAATCCCTATAAAACCTCGGGATCTGGGGAAAGGATGGGGCTCAGTTTTGCACATCCCAATCCTTGCGGGATCATCCCAGTCCCTGCCTTCCCCCTTCATTCCGAGGGGGTTTAGCCCCAAATTCCCAGAAAACCCCAATAATTCTGTGGGATTTAGGGGTAAGGATGGGGCTCAGCTTCCCCTGGATTTGATCCCGGTAGGAACGAGGGATGTTCCCATCCCAATCCCTAGGGGATCATGCCAGTCCCTGCCTTCCCCCTCCATCCCGGCGGAGTTTAGCCCCAAATTCCCGAAAAACCCCAAGAAATTTGTGGGATTCGGGGCAAGGATCGCGCTCCGCTCCCGCCGCTCCTCATCCCGAAGTTCCCATCCCATTCCCGACATTCCCCGTCCATCCCAGCAAATCCCAAATCCCGGGAACAGCTCGGAGGCGCCTCCTCCCCCCCGAGCTCGGCCCCGAGCCCCGCTGGGCCGGGTTTAAATCCCTAAAGCCCCGCGCGTGGCCCCCGGCCAAGGCTCCATGGAGGGCATAAAGATCCCAAAGTTTTCCCAAAATCCCAAAGTTCCCGCAGTTCCCGGAGCCTCCGGAGCCTCGCGAGCTGCATGGCCGGGCCGGGCCGGCCTTTAGACCGAGCTTAGCAAAGCCCGGCTCGCCGGGGGAGTCGCGGGCGCGGCCGGAAGGAGGGGAAGAAGGAAAGGAGGAAAAGGTAAACCTGGATTTGGGGTTTTTCCCTCTTTTCCCCTCCCACTTCTCTGGGGTTGGGGTTGTTTCCTCTCCCGGCTCGGCTGAGAATTCCAGGGTGGGAATTTGGGATAGAATCCTGCCCCGGGGGGTGCGGGAATTCCCAAAAATCCCCCAAATCCCAAAAATCCCTAATTCCGCCCCCCAGAAGGGATTTAACCCCCAGAGGACCCCAATCCTGCCCGGGGAGTGTGGAAATTCCCAAAAATCCCAAATTCCACCCCCCAGCAGGGGTTTAACCCCCGGGTTCCCTTTTCTTGGGGGCTGCGTCATTCCAGGATCAGAGAAATCCCCAAAAAATCCCAAATTCTGCCCCCCAGCAGGGGTTTAACCCTCGGTTTCCTTTTTCGTGGAGGCTACAGAATCCCAGGATCAGGAAAATCCCAAAACTCCCAAATTCTGCCCCCCAGCAGCGCTTTCATCCTGGTTTTTGCATCCCTGGGGGTTCTGGCATTCCAGCATCAGGAAAATAAAAAAAAAATTCCCAAATTCCGCCCCCCAGCAGGGATTTTACCCCCAGAGGACTGAAATCCTGCCCGGGGGGTTGGGGAGGGGGGGTGGGAATTCCCAAAAATCCCAAAAACCCCAAATTCCACCCTGCAGCAGCGATTTCACTCCCGGTTTCCCTTTCCCTGGGGGCTGCAGAATCCCAGGATCAGGATTTGGGATTCTGGGAACGGGGGCACTGCAGGGATTTTGGGGGAATTTTGGGGTGGGATCAAGGAGAACCAGGAATGGGGTTGGGAATGGAGTTTGGATTGGGAAAGGGGTCGGGAAGACCTGGAGCAGCTCCCAGGATTTTGGGAATGCGGGCACTGCAGGGATTTTGGGGTGGGATCAAGGAGAACAGGAATGGGGTTGGGAATGGGAATAGGGGTTGGGAATGGGGTTGGGAATGGAGTTGGGAAGAGCTGGAGCAGCTTTCTGGGATTCCCGGGGTTCTGGGAATGGGGGAATGGGGCAATTTTGGGGTGGCATCAAGGAGAACCAGGAACAGGATTGGGAATGGGGTCGGGAATGGGATTGGGAAGAGCTGGAGAAGGTCCCGGCTCTCCCGGGATTTTGATAACGGAGGAACCATGGGGATTTTGGGGTGGGCTTAGGAATGGGGTTAGGAAAAAGCTCCTCAATCCCTTGGGATGGTCCTGGAATCCCTCGGGAATCTCTGGGATGTTTGTGGGGTTTGGAGAGCTCTGGGGCTGCTCTTCCAGAGGCTTTTCCCAAAAAAAAAAAAACCTGGGAGAGGCTTTGGGTGTTCAGGAGCTTTGTCCCTTTGTTCCCACAGCTTTTTTGGGATCATTTTGGGGCTGGATCACCGAGTTTGGGGTCTCTTGGAGGGTGCTGGAGTGGGATCCGTTCCTAAATCCATTTTTAGGATTTGCAGGAATCGGGATTGGGAATTAAGGGCAATCCTGATGATCCCAACCCCTCAGCCCAAGAACTCCCTGGAATGAAATTTGGATCATTTTGATTAAAAACAAGATTGGGATTTGGGAATTCCCTTCTGGATCCCTTTTCCCTTCCCAGTTTTATTCCACGATTTGGGAATTCCCTTCTGCATCCCTTTTCCATTCCCCCTTTTATTCTGGGAATTCCCTCCTGGATTCCATTCCCGGTTTTATTTTGGGATCTGGGAATTCCCTCCAGATCCCATATCCATTCCTACTTTTATTCTGGGAATTCTCTCCTGGATCCCTTTTCCCTTCCCAGTTTTATTATGGATCCCCTTTTCCCTTCCTGGTTTAATTCCAGGATCTGGGAATTCTCTCCTGGATCCCTTTCCCATTCCTGATTTTATTCTGGGAATTCCCTCCTGGATCCCATTCCTGGTTTTATCCCGGATCCCGAAATTCCCGAGAGCAGGGGAGTGGGGGATGGGCGGGAGTTTCACGGGGCGCTCCAAGGTCGCGGGAGGAGCGGTGGGATCGGATTCCAAGGAAAACGCGGGAGCTGGGAAGGGCCGGGCCGGGAATGCGGATCCCGCTGGGATCTTGGCGTTCCCGCCTCTTTTTTTTGGGATTTCGGGAGTCAGGAAGGAGCTGAGGGATCCCATTCCATGGGGGGACAATTCCTGGGGCGCTCCAGAGGTGGAAAATCGGGAAGGAGCCGGGAATGAGCGTTCCCAGATAATCGGGAATGAACTGTTCACTAAAAATCGGGAATGAGCCTTCCTGGATAATCGGGAATGAGCCTTCCCTGTCCTGAAAATCGGGAATGGACTGTTCCCTGAGTCCTGGGAAGCTGAAAAAATCGGGAACTCCCAAACCCCATTCCCAGAATCCCAAACCCAAACCCCATTCCCAAAATCCCAAACCCCATTCCCAGCTCCCAAACATAGGATGGGATTTTGGATGGGATTTGAGATCACTGGGATCCCAAACTGGGATTTGGGATGGGCTTGAGGATGGGTTTTGGGATGGAATTTTGGATGGGATTTGAGATGGGGGTTTGGGATGGGATCTGGGATTGGGTTTTGGGATTTGGGATCACCCTGACAAGGACTGTGGAGGGGGCGGGCTCTGATTCCCGATGGATTTTTGGGAATGGAGGCACAAATCCCAAATTTTCCATGGGGGCATGGGGGGAATCCCAGGAAAAGCTGCCGGGCCGCTGTGCCAGGCAGTGCCAGGGGGTGACAGTCGGTGACAGTGCCACTGAAGCAGAGCCAGCCCCAGCTGTCCCCTCACAGCCCTGGGGACATTGGTGACGTCCTGGAGCTGCTGCCGCTCTCCCTTGGGGACACTGGGGACATTCCAGACCTGTCCATGGGGTGTCCCCAAGCCCGGGATGTCCCTGAGCTGCTGCCGCTCTCCCTTGGGGACATCAGGGACATCCCCGAGCCGTGTCCTCAAATCCTGGAATGTCCCCGGGGCTGCTCCCGCTGTCGCCTCCCAGCCCTGGGGACACCGGGACATCCCCGAGCTGTTCCCGGGGTGTCCCCAGGTCCCGGGATGTCCCCAAACCCCTCAGGTGGCATTTAGGGACACTGGGGTTGTCCCTGCCCCAAAGTGCTGCCGGAATTCCCGGGATGGCGCTGGGGACAGTTCCCGGGCTCGCGCTGTCGCCGCTGGTGGCACTTTGGGGACAGCGGCGCTGCCCCTCCCCCCCCGCCCCGCGACCTTCGCGCCGCTTTTCCAGCGCCGAGAATTCCCAGGAAAACCCAAACAAAGGCGGGATCGGCCCTGGGAGCGGCCCCGTCCCCGCTCCGGGAACAGCGGGAATTCCGCTGGGAGTTGGGATCAGAACCGTTTTTCCCGGTGCTTTTCCCACTTTTCCCGGCGATTTTCCCCACCTCTTTCCCACTTTTCCATCCCTCATCCCACTTTTCCTGGCTTTTTGCCCACTTTCCCCGCCCCTATCCCACTTTTTCTCTCATTTTCCCCCCTTTTCCCATCTTCTTTCCCACTTTTCCAGCCCCCATCCCTCTTTTCCCGGCACTTTTCCTGGTATTTTTCCCACTTTTCCCAGTGTTTTCCCCACTTTCTCAGAGTTTTCCCCACAATCGTTCCCACTTTCCCATCATTTTTCCCACTCTCCCGGAGTTTTTCCCACTTTTCCCAGCGTTTTTCCCACTTTCCCCATAATTTTTCCCACTTTCCCGGGGTTTTTCCCGCTTTTCCAGCCGCGGGGATCCCGGAGGGGGAGGGGCAGTCATGGCCCCCAACGGCTCCGCGGGATTTCGGGATTCCCCCCTGGAGCCGGGAATTTTCCTGGATGAGGATTTGGGATCCGACTGGTACATCTACGAATCCACGGAGCCTGCACCCCACGATGAGTGAGTGACCCTAAAATGTCCCCAAAATGTCCCCAAAATGTCCAAAAAAGTGGCCCCAGAATGTTCCCTAAAATGTCCCCAAAGGTGTCTCCAAAAGGTCCCCAAAATGCCCCAAAATGTCCCCAAAATATTCTCAAGTGTCCCTTCCCAGAGTTTTGGACCCTCTAAAAATCCTGGAATTTTTGATCATTCCCAGATTTATTCCAGGATTTTTAGCTCTGGAATTTTTGGGACCAGCCCTGTCATTCTCAGATTTATTCCCATCAAAATCTGGGATTTCCCCTATTTTCCATCATTTTTCTTGGACCTTTTAGAGTTAAACCCACCCAAATCTTTGATTTTCCTATTTTTCCAGCCTTTTTCCCGAAGCCATCCCGGAATGCCACCCCACGATCTCCCCCCAGATGTACCACACTGTCATGGCTCCCATTTCCGTGAGTATCCACCCCAAAATTCCCATCCCCATCCCAAAATTCCTGGAAAAAAACCCAATCCCACATCCCCACATTCCATTCCCTTTCATCTTGGATGTGTTTTCCCACCTAAACCATCCCAGAATTCCCAGATTCCTGGGATTTCACTTCCCTGTGGGACAAGAACTCCAAAATTCCTCCCAAATCATTCCCAGAACACTTTCCCATGGATTTATGGGACCTCCATGAGGATCTCATAATTCCCATCATTCCCATTGTTCCCAAGACCCCTTTTCCATGGATTTATGGGGTCTCCATGGGGTTCCCATCATTCCCACCATTCCCAGAACCCTCTTCCATGGATTTATGGGGTTTCTGTGAGGATCCCATCATTCCCAGGTCTCTTTTCCATGGATTTATGGGGTTTCAATGGAGTTCCCATCATTCCCATCATTCCCAGGATCACTTTTCCATGGATTTATGGGACCTCCATGAGGATCCCATCATTCCCATCATTCCCACCATTCCCAGAACACTTTTCCATGGGTTTATGGGGTTTCTGTGGGGTTCCCACAATTTCCATGATTTCCAGAACCCTTTTCCACAGATTTATAAGGCCTCCATGGGGTTCCCATCATTCCCATCATTCCCAGGTCTCTTTTCCATGGATTTATGGGGTCTCCCTAGAGTTCCCAGCACTCCAGGGCCCTTTTCCATGGATTTCCATCCCATTCCAGCTGGCCGTGATCCTGGCCTTGTCCTTCCTGGTCAAGCGCCGCCGGCTCCACCTGAGCTGCTGGAACGGCGTCCCGGGATTGCTCAGGTATGGAATTCCCAAAACCCCACTGATCCCTCCCTGGGAAGGGCTCGGAATTCCCAAAATCCCACTGATCCTGGAAAAGACTTGAAATTCCCAAAATCCTGCCAATCCCTCCCTGCTCAAAATTCCCAAACCCCACTAGTGCATCCATGGAAAGAGCTCAGAATTCCCAAAATCCTTCCTTGGGAAGGGCTCAGAATTCCCAAAATTCCCTCCCTGTAAAGGAGTCGGAGTTCCCAAATCCCCACCCTGGAAAGACCTTGGAAATCTGAAAATCCCATCCTTGGAGAGGACCTGGAATTCCCAAAATCTCCTTCCTGGAAATGACTTGGAATTCCCAAATCCCATCCCTTCAAAGGGCTCAGAATTCCCAAAATCCCCTCCATGGAAAGTGCTCGGAATTCCCAAACCCCGCTGAACTCATCCCTGGGAAGGAGCAGGAGTTCCTGACATCCCTGGGAAGGAGCGGGGATTCTCACAGTGCCTCTCTGGGAAGGAGCAGGAATTCCCAAAATCCCTTCCTGGAAATCACCCTGAATTCCCAAACCCTGCTGATCCTTCCTTGGAAAGGACTCGGAATCCCCAAAATCCCCTCCCTGGGAAGGAGCAGGAATTCCCAAAATCCTTGGGAAGGAGCGGGATTTCCCACAGTCCCTCCCTGGGAAGGAGCAGGAATTCCTGACATCCCTGGGAAGGAGTGGGATTTCCCACAGTCCCTCCCTGGGAAGGAGCGGGCATTCCCGACATCCCTGGGAAGGAGTGGGAATTCCCAAAATCCCGATGTCCCGGGAAGGAGTGGGAATTCCCAAAGTCCCGGGAAGGAGCGGCATTCCCGACTGGGGGCCGTTGCAGCCCCGGGAATCTCCTGGAGCAGGACGGGCACCGCGCCGTGGCCGCGGCCGTGCTGGCGCTGCTGTGCTCCGAGCTCTGCCGGCTGCTGCTGGAGCCGCGCCCGCTGCCGCTGCCGGGCACCGGGACACCGAGCGCGTCACCCGCCGCCCGCGGTGAGACACCGGGCCACACGGCCCCGGGAAGGGCTTGCGGTTCCCAAATCCCCACCTGGAAAGGGCTCGGAGTTCCCAAATCCCCACCTGGAAAGGGCTTGGGATTCCCAAATCCCATCCATGGAAAGGGCTCAGAATCCCCAAATCGCATCCCTGGGAAGAGTTTGGAACAACCAAAATCCCATTCATGGGAAGGGCTCAGAAATCCCAAATTCCCCACTCTGGGAAGGGCTCAGAATTCCCAAAATCCCCACCCTGCAAAGGGCTCCGAATTTCCAAATCGCATCCCTGGGAAGGGCTTGGAATTCCCAAAATCCCCACCAGGAAAGGGTTCAGAATGCCCAATCCCGTCTCTGGAAAGGGCTCAGAATTTCCAAATCCCATCCCTGGGTAGGGCTTGGAACACCCAAAATCCCATCCATGGGAAGGGCTCAGAATTCCCAAAACCCTCAGTCCTGAAAGGGCTCAGAATCCCCAGATCCCACCCCTGGGAAGGGCTGGCTGGGCTGGTGGCAGTGACCCCATGTCCCTGGGGTGATGGCAGTGACTGTGGTGGTGGCGGTGTCCCCCGGGCAGTGGCGGTGTCCCTAGGGTGGTGGTGTTGTCCCCAGGGTGGTAGCAGTGACGTGGTATCCCTGGGGTGGTGGCAGTATCCCAGGGCGGTGGCAGTGTCCCAGGGCAGTGTCAGTGTCCCAGGGCGGTGGCAGTGTCCCGGAGCGGTGTGCCACCCCCGGTGACGCGGGTGCCCCCGCTGAGGCGGGTGTGTGGTGTGTCAGAGTTCTGGAAGGTTCTGGCCCTGCTCTATTTCCCGGCGCTCTACTCGCCCCTGCTGGCCTGCGCTGGCCCCCGGCACCGCCTGGGCTACGCCGCGGGGACCCTGCTGGCCTGGGGACACTGCGGGGCGCACGCCTGGCAGCGCGCGCAGTGTCCCCTGGCACCCAAGGTGGGTGGCACCGACGTGGCACGGCCTGCTGCGCTGGCACTGAGGGGGTGGGGCTTCCTTGTCACCTCCTGGGGTGGCCCCAAGGGGTTGTGGCTCCCTTGTCACCTCCCTTAGTAACCCTGAGGTGGCACAACTTGCTGCAGTGACACTAAGGAGTTGTGGCTCCCTTGTCACCTCCTGGAGTGGCCCCGAGGCCAGGAAAAGGACAGCAGAGGTGGCCCAAAGTGGAGGTGGCTTGCTGGAGTGGCTCTGAGGTGTTGTCACCTCCCAGAGTGGCCCTGAGGGGTTGTGGCTCCCTGGCCAGCTCCCAGTGTGTCCCTGCAGTGCCCCTAGCTGGGCTGATGGCAATGACCCTGTGTCCCCAGCATGGTGGCAGTGACCCTCTGTCCCTAAGGGTGGAGTCCCCAGGGTGGTGGCGAGGTCCCCAGGATGGTAGTGGTGACATGATATCCCCAGGGTGGTGGCAGTGTCCCCAGGGTGGTGGCGGTGGTGTCCCCAGGGTGGTGGCGGTGTTCCCAGGGTGATGGTAGTGTCCCCAGGATGGTGGCAGTGTCCCTGGGTGGTGGCAGTGACCCCTTGTCCCCAGGGGCAGTGGCAGTGACCCCGTGTCCCCAGAGACGGTGGCAGTGACCCTGTGTCCCTGAGGGTGGTGTCCCCAGGATGGTGGCAGTGACCCCAGCATGGTGGCAGTGACCCCAGGATGGTGGCAGTGACCCCGTGTCCCCGCGCAGATCCACCGGCTGTACTCGCTGCTGTCCCATGTCCCCGTGCTGCTGTCCCTGTCCCTGCTCAGCCTCTGGTACCCAGTGCTGCTCCTGCGCAGCCTCCGGAACGGGGACAGCCCCGAGCCGCGGGTACGGACACGGGAACTCGGGAACTCGGGAATTTGGGACTGAGAGGGGGATTGGGATTGGGGTTGGGATTGGGATTTGGATCGGGTTGGGATCAGGATCGGGGTTGGAATAGGGATTGGGATTGGTGGCCAGTGCTGCTCCTGCGCAGCCTCCGCAACGGGGACATCCCTGAGCCATGGGTACAGACATGGGAACTTGGGAATTCAAGAACTCAAGAACTCTGGATTTGGATCGGGATCAGGACCAGGATTGGCATTGGGGTTGGGATTGGTACCCGGCACTGCTCCTGTGCAGCCTCCAGAACGGGGACAGCCCCGAGCTGTGAGTATGGACATGGGAAATTGGGAATTCGGGAATTTGGGACCTCAGGACTGGCCCATGGGAGTGGGATTGGAATTGGGATCAGGATTGGGATCAGGATCAGGATTGAGAGCCTGATTGGGATTGGGATCACGATCAGGATTGAGTGCCTGATTGGGATCAGGATTTGGATTAGGACCAGGATTGGGAATGGGATTGGGATTGGGATCTCTGTGCGTTCCCCTCCCAGCTCTGCTGCTGGGGGTTCTCTGTTACTATCCTGGAACTTGGTTTGGGATTGGGATTGGGATAGGGATCTCCATGCGTTCCCCTCCTGGCATTGCCGCTGGGTTTCTCCGTTGCTATCCCGGGACTGGGTTTGGGATCGGGATCAGGATCTCCGCATGTTCCCCTCCCCTGCTGTGGGTTCTCCGTTGCTGTCCCGGGACTGGGTTTGGGATCGGGATCAGGATCTCCGCATGTTCCCCTCCCCCTGCTGTGGGTTCTCTGTTGCTGTCCCTGCACCAGCAGCAGGGTCGGGAAATTCCTCCGGGATTTGAAATTTCCTCTTGTATACGGGAAATCCCTTACACAAGAGGCTTCCGGCATCAATGGCTCTGTTCAGACCGGCTCCGGGCTCTCCTCGTTTTCCCGGATAATCTCTGGAGCCCGGAGCTTTGTTGAGAAGAGAGGAGGGAAAAGCAGGAAAGGCCTGAGGTGACCCTGGCAGGGGGCAACAAGGGATCCCGGAGGGGTTTGGGAACAAAATCCCACTTTATTCCCACTTTTCCGTACCAACACCGCACATTCCGTATGCTGGTTTGGGGTCGGGAATTCACATCAGGATATGCCTGGGATGAGGGGGTAGCCAGGGCAGCTCTGCCACCCCAAATCCATCCGTTATCCTCAGATTTCCGGGAAAAGCTATTACAGGAAGTACCTCAAGGCCGTGCTGTCCAAGCGGGGCCAGAAGGGGAGGTAAGGATGGAAATTCCTATTCCCAACTAATCCCATTGCTGGCAATTCCCACTCCCAGCAAACCCCATTCCCAAAGGTTGGGAATATCACTCTCTCCCACCTCCTGCAGCTCCGTCAAGATCGAGGAGAGCCTCAGCTCCCGGATCCGCTCCTACCTGCTCTCCTACATCTACATTCCTGAGGAAGGTGGGCACCTGGAAAATCCCATGGGATCAGGGATTGGGATTTATGGATCAGCCAGGCCATTTTCAAAATCCTGGGTTGCTCCACGCCCCGTTCAGCCTGGCCTGGGTTGGAGCCCAAATCCAGCTGTGCTTGGGGCAGGGATCCACAAATCCATGGAAAAGGGGTCATGGGAGTGATGGGAATGATGGGAATGCCATGGAGGCCCCATAAATCCATGGAATTATGGGAAACCCATGGAGGCCCTGTAAATCCGTGGAAAAGGGTTTTGGGAATGGTGAGATCCTCCTGGAGGCCCCATAAATCCATGGAGAAGGGGTCCTGGGAGTGGTGGGATTGTTGGGAGCTCCCCGTGTGTGGAGACACGAGGCCTGACTCCATTTCAGAAGGCTGGTTTATTATCTTATGATATATATTCTATTAAAATACTACATTAAAACTGTACTAAAAGAGCAGAGAGGAAAAGCTATCAGAAGGTTTGAAAGAAGAAGAATAGAGTAGAATGCACAACAAAATCCTGTGAGTGCTCACACCTGGGCACAGGTGGCTGTGATTGGTCATCAGCTGGAAACAATCCACAGGGACCAATGGAAGATGCACCTGCTGCATTCCACAGCAGCAGAGTTGTTGTTTGCATTCCTTTCCTGGGGCTCCCAGCTCCTCAGGAGGGAAAAATCCTGGCAAAGGATTTTTCATAAATTATCATAGCTACAGTGGGATCCTCATGGAGACCCCATAAATCCATGGAAAAGAGTCCTCGGAATGATGGGAACCCCATGGAGGCCCCATAAATCCATGGAAAAGGCGGCCTGGGAATGATGGGATCCTTACGGAAGGGAATGGTCCTGCACTGAGGAGGTGAAATCCCGGGAATGCGGAGCCACCCTGGCTCTTTCCATCCATGGATGGGGCAGGGAATATCCCGCGTTTCCATGGAAAAGCAGGATGGAGCCATCCATCCATTCCCGACTCTCCATCCCACCAGGAATTCCCTGTGGAAATCCCATTCCAAAGGGTGTTCCCTTTGCTGGGCACACCCTGATCCTGCTCCACCACCCTAGTTTCCCAATTTTCCCTCCAGGATTCCGGATCCCGCTGAAGCTGGTGGTGTCTGTCACCGTGGCCGTCGTTGCCGTCTACCAGGTGACACCAGGGACATTCCCAGAGGATCCCGGGGGTCACTTGGGAATGGTGTTAAAATTCCTTCCAGAATTCCATGCTCCCGTAAATCCCTAAATCCTGTGGGATCCAAGCTGTAAATCCCTGAATCCCACAGGATCCATGCTGTAAATCCCTAAATCTCATGAGATCTGAGCCTTAAATCCCACGGGATCCAGGCCATAAATCCCTAAATCCCATGGGATCCATACCATAAATCCATAAATCCCGTGGGATCTGAACCGTAAATCCCAAAATCCTGTGGGAACAGTGCTGTAAATCCTGCAGGATCCAAGCCATAAATTTCTAAATCCCATGGGATCTGAGCCATAAATCCTGCAGGATCCATGCTGTAAATCCTGAAATCCTTCAGGATCTGACCATAAATCATGAAATCCCGGGGGACTTGAGCTGTGAATCCTGCGTGATCCAAACTGTGAATTCCTAAATCCTGCAGGATCCAAGCCGTAAATCCTGAAATCCCATGAGATCTGAGCCATAAATCCCTAAATCATGTGGGATCTGAGATATAAATCCCACGGGATCCAAGCCGTAAAACCTGAAATCCTGCGAGATCCAACCATAAGTCATGAAATCCCGTGGGATTTGAGCTGTGAATCCTGCAGGATCTCAGCCGTAAATCCATAAATCCCGAAATCCAGCGGGATCCCGTGTCCCTGCAGGTGGCCGTGCTGCTGCTGGTGGCAGTGGTGCCCACGCTGCGGATTGTCCGGGCGGGAATGACCAAGGACGTGGTGGTGCTGCTGGTGCAGTTCGGGCTGGTGCCCTCGCAGGGCGCGGCCGTGCCCGGGGACATGGAGCAGGAGCTGCGCACCGCCCGCCACTTCCTGTGGGCGCTGGAAGGTGGAGCTCCAACCCCAGCCCCATCCCGATCCCAATCCCAATCCTGATCCCAAACCCGAGCCCGATCCCAATCCCAAAACCAAGCCCAATCCTGATCCCAAGCCCCAGTCTGATCCCAATACCGATCCCAATCCCAAACCCAATCCCAATCCTGATCCCATCTGGAGCCACCCTCCAGAGGGGATTCCAGAGACATTTCCCAATGATTCCTGGCTTGGAGGATGGGATGGGGCAGATTCCAGGGGGATTTTGGGAGGATGGGATGGGATGGATTCCATGGCGTGGACTCCAGAGGGATTTTGGGAGAAAAGGATGGGGCAGATTCCAGGGGGATTTTGGGAGGAGTCATCACCTGGAGGATGGGATGGGGCAGATTCCAAGGGGATTTCCAATAGATTCCCCACCTGGAGGATGGAATTGGGAGGATTCCAGAGGGATTTTGGGAAGATTCCTTGCCCGGAGGATGGGATGGGCAGGTTCCAAGGGGATTGCGGAGGATTCCTCACCTGGAGAACGGGACTGGGAGGATTCCATGGGCATTTCCAGAGGATTCCTGGCCCCGAGGACAGGATGGGGCAGATTCCAGAGGGATTTCCAGAAGATTCCCTGCCGAGAGGATGGGATAGGGAGGATTCCAGAGGGACTGTGGAGGATTCCCCACCTGGAGGATGGGATGGGGCAAATTCCAGGGAGATTTGGGAGGATGGGATGGGGTAGAATCCAGGGGGATTTTGGGAGTGGCTGGCAGGGATGGAGCAGATTCCAGGGAGATTTCCAGAGGGTTCCTCACCCAGAGGATGGAATGAGGAGGATTCCAGGGGTATTTGGGGAAGATTCCTGGCCAGGGGATGGGATGGGGCAGAATCCAGGGGGATTTTGGGAGTGGATGGCAGGGACTGGGTGGATTCCAGAGGGATTTCAAGAGCAGCTGACAGGGATGGGGCTGTGCCAGGCTGGCACGTGCCAAGGCGGGAAGAGACTCTGGGAAAAGCCGTTGGGAAGAGCCGGAGGGAAGAGCCGGCAGATGCTGCAGGCTTGGAAACGTGCTGGAAGTGAACAGATGGACCTGGATCCCTGGAGAGTGGAAATCCTTGGATGGGGGATGCGGGAAGAGCAGGGAAGAAGGAATAGCAGGGATGAGGGAATTTCAGGGATGGGGGAATTCCAGGGTTCAGGGAATAGCAGGGATGAGGGAATTCCAGGGATCAGGGAATAGCAGGGATGCTCCCCGCCTTCCTTGGGATCCCACCAGCTCCAGGGAGGATTTCTGGGGCTTTTCCTGGATCCCCAAACCTCTTTCATCCCATTTTTTCCCTCCTCTCTCTTTCCCGCAGATCCCCTTTCCCAAGACCCCCAGCCCAACCTACCCATCCCAGGTTGCTCCAGGCATTTTCCTGGGTTTCCTTTCCCCTTTTCCCTCGCTCTGTCCCCTCCATCCCCCCTTGGGAGCTGAAGGAGACAGAGACAAAAGAGGAAACTGAGGCACGCTGACAATCCCAATGTTTCCATCCTTATCCCCGAGGTGCAATTCCCGGCAAAACCCCACTCCCAGCGTTATTCCTGACCCCAAATCCAGGATTTTTCCCAATTTTTTCACAGTGTGTTACATCTGCTCGCTGGTGCTGTGCTGCCTGCTCACCTGCGCCATGCTGCTCCGGAGCCTGGGCATGCACAGGTGGGGCTGGCCCCGCTCCCGGCATTCCCAGTCCTGAGATTCCCATTCCCCAGATTCCCATTCCCAATATCCCCAGCCCCATCCTTGATGTCCCCATGCCCATTCTCAATGTCCCTGGCCACATTCCCAATATTCCCATCATCATTCCCAATGTTCCCACTCCCAAAATCCCCATCCTCATTCCCAATGTCCCCGTCCCCATCCCCATTCCCAATGTCCCTATCTCCATTCCCAATATTCCCAGCCCCATTCCTGATATTCCTGCCCCCATTTCCAATATTCCCATCATCATTCCCAATTTTCCCATTCCTGATGTCCCTGTCCCCATTCCCAATGTTTCTACTCCTGATATCACCGTCCCCATTCCCAATGTCCCCATCCCTGTTCCCAGTGTTCCCATCTCCATTCCCAATATCCCTGGCCCCATTCCCAATGTCCCTGACCCTATTCTCAATATTCCCATCATCATTCCCAATGTTGCCACTCCCGAAATCCCCGTTCCCATTCCCAATGTTCCCATGCCCATTCCCAATATTCTCAGTCCCGATCCTGATATTCCCATCCCCAATGTCCCTGACCCCAGTCCCAATATTTCTGTCCCCATTCCTGATGCTCCCATTCCCGATATCCCCATCCCCATTCCCAATATCCCTGTCCCTATTACCAGTGTTCCCATTCCCAGTGTTCCCATTCCTGATATCTCCGTCCCCACTCCTGATTTCCCCAGCCCCATTCCCAATATCCCAGGCCCCATTCCCAATGTCCCTGGCCCCATTCCCAATATTCCCATCATCATTCCCAATGTTCCCATTCCCCATATGCCCTTCCCCATTCACGATGTTCCCATCCCCAATCGCGATATTTCCATTCCCATTCCCAATATTCTCATCCCCATTCTTGATATTCCTATTCCCGATATCCCCATTCCCGATGTCCCTGCCCCCATTCCTGATATCCCCATCCCCATTCCCGATGTCCCCGTCCCCATCCCGGGCGGGGATCAATCCGGGCCGTTTTCCATCCAGGTCCAACCTGCGGGCGCTGTACCAGGGTGCCGTGCTGGACGTGTTTTCCAAGGCCCACATCCTGCGACCTTCCCGGGAATCCCTGGTCTGCTGGATGGCCTTCTCCAGCTTCCAGGCCGCCTTCGCCTGCCTGGGTAACGGGATTTTGGGATCATGACATGGGGATCCCAATTTTCCTAAGGATAAAGCAGCGATTCCCCATTTTTCCCCATTTTCAGGGGGGTTTTTAGCCCTCTTTCCTCAAATGGAATATGGTGGATTTTTGGAACACCGATGATTGGGAACTGGGAAAAACTGGAAAAAAATTGGGAATAATTGCAAAAAAATCAGAAAAATTTGGTTGGGAATTCAAAGAGGATGAAGGGGTGGAATGATGCCTGGGTAACGGAATTTTGGAATCACAGGGTGGGGATCCCAATTTTCTTAAGGATTAAGGAGCAATTCCCTGTTTTTGCCCTGATTCCAAGAGAGTTTTTAGCCCCCTTTCCTCAAACGGAATCTGGCGGATTTGGGGAATACCGGATGGTTGGGAATTGGGAAAAACTGGAAAAATAATTGGAAAAGATGGAAAAATTGGAAAAATTGGGTTGGGAATTCAAAGAGGAGGAAGTGGGTTTGGCTCCATCCCAAATATTTGGGTGGGAAAAGCTCTGGAAGCCTCTGGTCCTCAGTGCACTCTGGGGGCTCCTCATCCCCATCCCAGCCTGGATCATCCTGGGAACGGGGTGGGGGACCCCAAAAAGAGGGAAAATCTTCATTCCACCCCCAGGAATTGTGGGGACAATCCCTTGGGAATGCAGACCTGGTTTTGCGGACTGGTGGGGTTTTTATGGGATTGTCGGGAAAGCCCCGTGCAGGAATTTGAGGAATGAGAGCCGTTTTTCCATCCCAGATTCCCGCTCCGTGTTCCCATTCCAGGTCTCCTGATCCAGCAGGTGATTTTCTTCCTCTGCTTCGTGGCCTTCACCTTCCTGGTGGTGATCCCGCTCCAGATCGGCACCAGCTCCCCCCTCTTCGGGATCATCCGGAACATGTGGTGAGCTGGGAAGGGATGGAAACCCCAAGGAATGGCCCTGGATGGGTTTGGGGTGTTCCGTTTGGGATTTTTTCAACATCATTGGAAGCTTCTGCCTGTGGCGGTGTTCTGGAACATTCCTGGTGTTTTGGGAGGTTCCTGTTGATTTGGGACATTCCCAGTGTTTTGGGACATTCCTGGTGCCTTGAGACATTCCCAGTGTTTTGGGGCATTCCCAGTGTCCATCCCACTCTTCAGGATGATCCAGAACATGTGGTGAGCAGGGAAGGACTGGAAACCCCAAGGAATGGTCCTGGAAGGGTTTGGGATGCTCCTTCTGGGGTTTTTCCAACACCGCTGGAGTTTTCTGCTGCCTGGGTGGTGCCTTGGGACATTCACAGTGTTTTGGGGCATTCCCAATGTCCATCCCACTCTTTGGGATCATCTGGAACGTGTGGTGAGCCCTTGGGAAGGGCTGGAAAACCCAAGGAATGGTCCTGGATGGGATTGGGATTTGGCATTTTTCCAACACCGCTAGAGGTTTCTGCTGCCTGTGGTGGTGCCTTGGGACATTCACAGTGTTTTGGGACATTCCTGTTGATTTGGGACATTCTCAGTGTTTTGGGGCATTCCCAGTGTCCATCCTGCTCTTTGGGATCATCCAGGACATGTGGTGAGCCATCGGGAAGAGCTGGAAACCCCAGGGAATGGTCCTGGATGGGTTTGGGATGCTCCATTTGGGGTTTTTCCAACACCACTGGAGATTCCTGCCTGGGGCGATGTTTTGGGACAGTCCTGGTGTTTTGGGACATTCCCAGTGTCCTTCCAGGCCCTTCTGGCTGACCCTGGTGGTGGCCGTGCTCCTGCAGCATCTCCTGGCCCATTTCCAGTTCCTGGAGCAGCATTCCCTGCAGAAGGAGATCACCAACAGGTACAGGGACACTGCCATCATCCCCCATTGTGCCCAGTTGTCCCCCATTGTCCCCAGGGGGGTTTGGCAGGAATTCCAGGCTCCCAGGAGGTTTCTCCAGATGTTCTGGCCTGAATTTTGGTGGGGTGACACCGGCGAGGGTGGCCCTGCTCCACTGACCCCGTTTCCAAGGCTGGGCAAGCCCAGATCCCTCGGGATTGGCTGGGTGGGGTCAGTCACCGCTGGCAGATGTCCCCCACTCAGGGATGGTGTCACCACCTGTGACCAAGGTGACAGAGGGACCCAAGTGCCACTCCCTGACAGACCACAGAGGTTCTCCTGGTGTCCATCCCAAACCACCAGCAGGTGTCCCTCACTCAGAGATGGTGTCACCACCAGAGACCGGGCTGACAGAGGGACCTGAGTATCCTCCTGGTGTGGCAGCAACATTCTCCTGGAGCTGGTTTCCATCCCAGGCCGCCAGCAGATGTCCCTCACTCAGAGGTGGTGACACCACCTGAGGCCACGGTGACAGAAGGACCCAGGTGTCCTGTGCCACCCCCTGGCAGAGCACAGAGGCTCTCCTGATGTCCATCCCAAACCACCGGCAGCTGTCCCTCACTCAGGGATGGTGCCACCATCCCAGACCAGGGTGACAGAAGGACCCAGATGTCCTCCTGGCAGGCCAGTGAGGCTCTCCTGGAGCTGAGGGCCTCCATCCCAAAATCCCAACCCCACATTTTGGATGGTTCCTCACTCTCCGAGTGGACAAGGAGCTCCTGATGGTTCTCCAGGAGCCTGGGGAGGCGTTGGCTTCTCCCAGCGGGATGGAGCCACCTGGCCGGATGCGGGCGGGGCTGGGCGGTTTGGGGTGGCCGGAGTTTTCCCGGGAAGGGCCATCCCACGGGTCTGTGTGCCCTGCAGGCGCGCGCTGTACATCGTCACCTTCCTGCTCTTCCCCACCAACGTCCTGGTGGGCGTCATGGCCGCAGTGTGGCGCATGCTCATCTCCGGCCTCTACAACGCCATCCACTTCTGCCGGCTGGACATCAGCCTGCTGCACCGCGGCGTGGAGACCTTCGACCCAGGTGGGACATTGAGAGGCCACCGTGCCACCAGCGGGGTCCTTGTCCCACCACGGGGGGTTGGGATGGGGGCCCGGAGCTGCTGGGATTGAGGGTGGCCCCAAATGTTGGGAGTGGGACACCTAGAGAAGGTGGCTTCTCCTGATTCCTGCTTTTTATCCCAAAAAAATGAGTGGTGACCTTGGAGCTTCACCAGTGGTCACCTCGTGTCCTGGAATAAAGAAGAAAGGACCTCAGGCCTTCCCCTGTTTTTCCTGTGGGATTGAGGGTGGCGTGGAAATGGGACGATGGCAACAGGTGGCTTCTCCTGGTTCCTGCTTGGTTCCGCTCTTTGATCCCAAAAAACAGGGGATGACCTTTGGGGTTACACCAGCAGTTACCTCATGTCTCGGGATAAATGAGGGGAGACCTCAGGGGACCTCTGGGGACCTCAGGTCTTCCTCTGTTTTCCTGCTGGGATTGAGGGTGGCTTCAGACCTTTGGGAATGGAACACCTGGAGCAGATGGTGCCAGCTGGGTCCTATATATTTATCCCCAAAAAAGTGGATTGAGCTTTGGGGTTTCACCTCATCTCCTGGGATAAAGGGGAGGGGATCTCAGGGGAGCTCAGGCTGGCTCCTGCTTTTCTGCCGGGATTGTGGGAGCATGGAGACCAGAGCTGGATCTGTCCCTTGGGCTCCAGAGTGGGAATAGGGAATGCGGTCCCAAAAGAGGACGCGGTGTCCCCACAGGGTACCGCACCTACTGCCACTACCTGAAGGTGGAGGTCAGCCAGTGCCACCCGCTGCTGAAGGCCTTCTGCTTCCTGCTGCTCCAGCCCGGCCGGACGGAGCCGCCGGCACCGCCCCGGGACACCCAGCTGGAGGAAGGTGGGACCTGGAGGCACAGGGGGAATGGGGGGAGGGGACACGGTGGTGACCTCTGGGTGGCACCTTTGGTTGGTGTGGGGACACCTCCATCCATCATCCATCCATCCATCTATCATCCATCCATCCATCATCCATCCATCATCCATCCATCCATCCATCATCCATCCATCCATCCATCATCCATCCATCCATCCATCATCCATTATCCATCCATCCATCCATCCATCCATCCATCCATCCATCCATCCAACAGCTGATCCTGCTCCAGGGATGGGATGGGGCTCTTTGGGGTGTGGTGGGATCTTTGTGCCTCCCGGGAAATGAGGCTGAAATCCGGGAATCCTGGAACACTTTGGGTTGAAAGGCCTTTGAAGCCCATCCAGGGACACCTCCCTCTATCCCAGGCTTCTCCAAACCCCGTCCAACCTTTCCTTGGGCACTTTGGGCATCCAGGGGCAGCCACCGTTCCTCTGGGAATTCCATCCCAGCCAGGAATTCTGTCCCAACCTCCCCTTTCCCAGCAGGAATCCATCCCTCTGCACCTCATCCCAACCCCTCTCCCATTCTCCTGGTGCTTTTCCAGGCCCTGAATCCTCTCTCTGCTGCTCCCGTCTCCTTCCAGGCCTCCAGCTGATGCATCCCAAGCACCCGGCTCCGGGAAGAGCACGGATCCGGCGGATCCGGGCGCGCTGGTGGGTGGCCTACACGCTCCTGCACAACCCCTCGCTGACCGCTTCCCGAAAAACTGCGCTGGCCGATCCCGCAGCCAACGGTGCCCAGCTCGGCATTCCCAGGCCCTGAATTCCCAGGAATCCCACCCCATCTCCCATCTCCCACCTCCCATCCCCAAATTCTGGACGTTTCCCTCGCCCTTTCCCTGCCTCTGGACTCACTCTGAGGGTTTATCCCTAAATCCACACCGAGCCACTCGCGGGGTCCGGAGGTGACACCTCTGAGTCCAGCCTGGATGGAGCCGAGCCAAGGAAAAACACTCCCAGCATCCCGAAAATATTTTAGGATTCACTCCTGCAACCAGCCGGGTTCTCAGCAGCTTTTCCAGCACTGGACAATTCCCAGAGAACTGGGAGAGGAGCTGGGAGGGATTCCCAGCTGGCCGAAGGAATTCTCAACCACCAGGAATTACCCTGGGAGCTCCACGTGGGAGAAAATTCCCATTGCTGGCTTCTCCCTTCCTGATCCTGGCTCCATTTGGGTTCCACATCCATTCCTGGGACATTTTTTCCCTGATTTTTGAAGGATCAAATCCCGCCCGTCCTCTTCCATTCGTGGTTTTGTGGTGATCCCGGGGTTTTCCAGGGCTGGGATCCATGGAAAGCCTCCCTGGGAAGCGCAGGGGAAGGAGAATAAACAGATACCTCGTTCCTACTCCCGGGATGTGCAGTTTTCCTTGGATATTCCCACTTCCAGTGGGATTTGGGACCATCCCAGCCCCAAATCCAGGGAACGGTTGAGTTGACTTCGCCCAGCAGAGATTTCGGGGTTCTGCTCCAGCTGGGAATGTCGGGATCCGATCCGTGATCCCACTTTAGGGCAGTTTTATGGGAAAACCGCTCCCTTCGCATTCCCACAGCTTTGGGAAGGGTGGGAATGGGAATGGGGAATTTGGGGATAAAACACCATCGGGATGGGAATGAGGGGCTGCTGGATTACCTCTTCCTGCTCTTAAATCCCAGAATTCCTGCCTTTTTGGGCTGGAATGAGCAGGATCCTGGTGGATCCCAAACACCCCAAGATTCCCTTGGGAATTCTCAGCCCACGGAGCTGCCAGATCATCCTGGATTTCCTTTGGGGTTGGCCAGGGCTGCTCTCTGCAGGATCCCCCGGACCCCATTCCCTCCCTCTGGAATGTTCCCAGCACCCTCAGGACGGTTTGGGGAAACCGGGGGTGATTCCTGTGCTTTTGGTTTTCCTTGGACAGGCCCCTCCCTTTTCCCAGGATTCCCACCCAGCCCATCCCAACCCCTGCAGCTAAAAAGGCAGCCTGAAACGCCTTGAAAAAAATCCCTTTAAAAATCCCTAAAATCTCTAAAATCCCTTTAAAAATCCCTAAAATCTGTGGCAGCTCAGTGCTATGGGCGGGGCTGAATTTTGGGATCTGTTTTCACAGCCCCACCCAAGGCTCCCTGGAGATCCATGGAATTTTTGTGGTTTTCGGGATAGCAGCAGCATCCTGGGCGGGATTTGGGATTTTCTTCCCCTTCCTGGTGCTTCCCGGCTCACATGGAAACCCCAAATCCGCATCCTCAACTCTGCTTCCCAGCTGGAATTTTGAGAATAATCCTGGATCCCAATATTCCCAGGGATAAAATGGAGTTTAAAAGTCATATCCTGTGAAATGAACCCAAAGCTTCCATTGGGGCCACGATTTTTATCCCACAGTGGGAAAAATTTATGGGAATCCAGGAGCTCCCCACAGAGACCTCAGCTGCCCTTTCCCTAAAATACCTCTGGACAAGGAATTTCGGAGCTGGTGAGCTCCAGGCTCTGATTTTGGGGTCACTTCCATTCCCAGGGAGCTGCAGGGTGGGAATTTGAGGTATCCCAGGATTTTGGGGGTTTCTTATAGTTTTGGGGTGGGGGGGGTGGGGAGCAGGGAAGTTTGGGAGATCTTGGGATGCTCCAGAATTGGGAAGAATCTGGGGATTCTTCAGCACTGGGAAGGATTTGGGATAGCTGGGAATGACAGAAGTGTCCCCTGTTCCAGGAGGGTTGGGGACAATCTGGGGGAGCCCAGGAGCTGCTGGCTCGAGGGGATTTTGGGATTTTGGGATGCACAGACCAAGTGAAGCCCAGCTGGTTTAGATAAAAAAAAAATGAGTTTATTCAAGTTGTTTATAAAAAAGTCATTATTAATTCAAGGTATTTATTAATTCAAGGTATTTATTGTTTCTTTATTACAGGTGTTTATGATGGGTATTTTGTAATTAAAGGCATTAATTAAAGGCATTAATTAAAGGCATTTATTGCTGTCCCTACAGGGCATTACAAGGCCACGGGGCTGCAGGGCGTGCCTAGATTCCCATTGGGAATTCTGGTGCTGTATCCCAGTCCAGGGGCCATGGACATTCCCAAAATCCCCCGAGGTTTCCCGGTACACCTGGAGAAGGAATATTTGTCCTGCTAGGAATTCTGGAGCACTCGGGGAATGTTTATGGCTTCAAGGCAGCTCAGCTTCTCTGTTGTTCCCAATCTTTCCCCCATTCCCACTGGGAACAGTTTGGGAATCTTTGGCTCAAGCCTGGTGGGTCCAGCCCAGACGGGATTTTGGGATGGTGGTCAGGGGGTTTTTGGGATTCCTGCAGCATTCCAGGGCCTTGGAGGTGCTCGGAATGCTCCTACAGGGATAAAACCCAGGAATTTCTTCTCCATCCAAGGTTGTAGGTCCATCCCAATCCTCTGTCCCATATGTATCCCCCAGGACCCCATTCCCAGGGATTTTATCCTTGGATCCCTCCCTGGTGGCAGCTGTGGTGGCTCTGGGGCGGGATTGTCACCACTGTCACCTCCTGTGGCCATCCTCGTATCCGGGCAGGGAAAAATGCAGGAACTGGCACTTTTGGACAGCCGGGAATTGGCGGCAGATCCTGGCTGAACCCGGCTGGATCAGCCCCACGTTCCCTGAGCTCCTCCAGGAGCGGGAACGGCAAGGGCTGGACCACCCGCCCCGGGCCTGTGGTGGCCCCATCGGGCTCCGGAGCGCTCCCGGATGCCAGAAGCTCAGCAAAGGCACTACGAGAGGAGAAACTACGGAAAAACGGGAATCCCGAGGCACCGCTCACCCTTCACCAGAGCAGCAGCCCCAGAGCCAGTGAAAGAATCCCCAGGTGGAATTCCCGGGCTCCTGCACCGCTCCGGGCCTGGCCGGACACGCGGTAGACGATGACCAACTTCTCGCCCATCCCGGACGGGTCCAGCTCGTCCCCCTTGGTGCAGCTGTGCCCACCCGGGTGCCCGGCCTGGGGGTCATCGCGGGGCAGCTCCTCGGCCGGGTTGGCCGAGCCGGCCAGCGCCACATTGATGGACACGTCCCTTGTCCCCACGTCGTTGACCGCCAGGCAGGTGTAGGTGCCCTCATCCTCCTTGCCGAAGTCGGGGATGGCCATGGTGCCGTTCTTGAAGGCCAGGAAGCGCTGCCGGCCCGCTTTGGTGCCGCCGTCCCGCGCCACTGTGGGCCCATGGATGTCCACGCGGCGGCCGGCCGTGCGGATCTGCCAGCGGATCTCCGGCGGGGGGCTGCCGGCCACGCTGCAGTGCAGGGTCAGCGTCAGCCCGTCCCGGGGGCCGGCCGCGGCCGGGCCAGACAGGTAGGTCAGCTGGGCCGAGGGCGGCACGCAGAGCGCGCCGGGGATGTCGGTGACCGGCCGGCCCCGCAGCCGCGCGGGCGCGGCGCACAGCGTGGAGCCGGCCCTGGAGAGCACCACCGAGGTGCCGTGCGCCCACTCCTTGAGCCAGAAGAGCTTGCAGGAGCAGTTGAAGGGGTTGTGGAAGAGCTGCAGCTGCGCCAGAGCCGGCAGCCCCTCGAAGGTGCCGTGGGCCAGCGTGGCCAGCTCGTTGTCGTTGAGCCACAGCGAGCGCAGCTCCCGCAGGCCGGCCAGCGCGCCGCGCGGCACCGCGGCCAGCCGGTTGTTGCTGAGCTTGAGGATCTGCAGCGCGCTGAGGTTGCGCAGGTCCTGCCAGGGGAAATCCGCCAGCCGGTTGTGGCTCAGGTCCAGGTTCTTGAGGTGCGGCAGGGCCGCGAAGGCGCCGGGCTCCACCGAGGAGATGTGGTTGTAGCCCAACCACAGCGACTGCAGCTCGGGCACCTCGGCCAGCGAGGCGCGGCCCAGGCGGCCCAGGCGGTTGGCGGAGAGCGTGAGGATGGTGACGTTCGGGGACAGGCCCCGCGGGACGTCCCGCAGCTCGCGGTAGGCGCACTCGGCCAGCAGCCGCCCGTTCTTCTTGGTGGAGCAGGAGCACGGCGCGGGACAGGCCAGGCCTGGGGACAGGAGTGTCACCAGCGCCAGGGCGCCGAGCAGCGGCCTCATCCTCGCGTCCTGCCGGGGACAGAGATGGGAATGAGCCCGGCCGAACAGCTGGGATGGAAAACAATTCCAGCTGGCAAAAGCAATTTGGGAGATCCCCTAAATCCCAGCCTGAGCAGGGGAGTTCCCCCTCTCCCCCTCGAGCTTGTCCTTCCCCCTCTGGAAAACCTTTTCCGGGTTTGGGATGAAATGTTGTTTGGGATGAGGAGCGGGAGCCAGGGGGTTCCGGGTTCCTCCCGCTGAGCTGAGGAGAAACAGAGCCGCCGCAGCTCTTTCCCAACCAGCCCTCCCATAAATCAAGGAATTTTTGGGATTTCCAGCGGGCTCGCAGACCGTGTCATGGAAAAAACCCGGCGCCTCTCTCAGCCAGGGGCTGCGGGGTCCCCGCGGCCGCTGGAATTCTCGGGAAGGGAATTTTTCCCAACTTAACTCCTCATTCCCCTCTCCGTGACTTTTCCAGGGCACTCCAGAGGTTCGTTCCTGCTCGGAATTCCCAGCAGCTGGCAGCCAGACCCCTTTGTCTGAGCCTCGCAAGCGAATTCCCCTGCCCTCCATTCCCAGCCCTGCCATTCCCAGCGGGAATTCTCGGGAATAAACCCCATCGGGATCTGAGGGGTGGCAAAGGCACCCCGCTGGCTCTGGGGGAGCTCTAGGTGACATTTTGGGGTGCTCAGGGAGGGACAGACCCCATCTCCCGGGGACTGGGTAGGGGAATCTTGGAATTTTTTCCCTCCTGGAGCTCGGGGTGGCATCCCACCCCTTTTCCAGAGCCCCCCGGGGCTCCTCAGCCGCCTCCCGGCGCATTCCAGAGCCGTGAATAACCGCCCTGCCTCCTTCCTTCCCTCCTTTCCCGGAGTTTTTTCCCGATTTTCTCCCGTTTTTCCCCGCTCCAGCCCCGCTCCCCGGGCCCGCGCCCGCGCCCCGTCACCGCCGGCGGATCCCCGCTGTCCCCGCTCCGCTGGACTCGGCCCCGCCGCTCCCGGGCCCTCCTCGGCTTCTCCTCCTCCTCCTCCTCCTCCTCCTCCCGGCCCGTCCCCTCCCCGTCCCCCGGGCCCGGATTGTTTTCCATGGCACCGACCCGCGCCCGCCCGCGGGGCCCGTCCTCGGCTCCTCCAAAATCCCCTAAAACCCGTTAGCACACACCCCTGAGCCCAAAACTCCCTAAAAAACCGTCACCCCAAATCATTGCCCCCCAAAATCCCCTAAAACACATTACCCCACACCCGTTAGCCCCAGAATCCTCTAAAAAAAGTTATCCCAAATTCCTGTCCCCCAAAATGCCATAAAACCCCATCACCCTACAGCCCTACCCCCCAAAATCTCCTAAAACCTTGTCACCCCACATCCCTGGCCCCCAAAATCAATCTTAAAACCCATTAGCTCAATTCCCTGCCCCCAAAACCTCCTAAATCACATGACCCCACTTCTCTGCCCCCCAAAATCCCCTAAAACCCCATCACCCCAAATTCCTGTCCACCCCACTTCTCTGCCCCCCAAAATCCGCTAAATACCCATCAGCCCAAATCCCTGACCCCAAAATCCCCTAAAACCCCATCACCCCAAATTCCTGTCCCACAAAATCTCCTAAAACCCATCACCCCAATTCCCTGTACCCCAAAATCACCTAAAACCTTGTCACCCCACACTCCTAACCCCCAAAAACCTCATCACCCCACACTTCTGCCCCCAAAATCCCCTAAAACCCCATCC